CAATTACATGATTGTGTCAGGGAATTGGACATGCAAGATGACAAAAAGATTGATTTACACCTATATTAACCGGGAAGGAAAAGCCTTAGAAGCCGCTAAGCTGACTAGTTTCATATGCATTAAAAGTGATAATATGCTTAAAAGACTATCATGTTGTTCTCTTCTTCAGCCTATGTAATTGCTTGGCGTGCATTTTAGGTTGATTGTCGATAAGAAATATCTTTTATTATTTAACCGAGAGCTACTCACTGTGGACCTTAAAGCCCAGAACTGTTCATTCGCTGGCAGCCAGACAACTGGTTTGATTGAGATTACTTTTTTATTAATGGACAGCTTGCACGCGTACCGAAAAATTTTTTTTCTCCGCAAACAGCAATTACTGGTTTAAAGATAAAAAATGTCCTTTTTTGGAAAGCAATACCAGAGCTGTAAGGGGATCTGTGCTTTTGTTGGGATAAGAGAACGATACCTCTTCGTCTTCATCCCCGATGTCCCTCGGATAATATTTCTCCGAGTGTTTATTGTCCCCTTCCCATTACTTTGGCTTTAGACAGTCGTATACAAAATAAGTGAGATAAAGAGATCAGTGATTAGGGCTGGGTTTTACTGGCTCCTAAAGAAAACAAATTTTATTCAATGTCCTACTAAAAGAAAAAATGGACTGCGATGGTTTTTAGTTCAAAGATTGAACTACTCAAAGAATCTTTGTGCAGTCGTTTATTTTGCATCACTGAAAACCACAAGGACATTGCTAATTGCTTTACATTACCTCAGTAAGTTAAAAGTGAATAAAGATCCAAATGATGCATTTTGATGAATTTTCTCAACCTAGATTATTTATCCAGTGGGAAATCGTTTCATGCGATCTGGAATCCTGGTGTTAGCAGAATGGAAGAAGTCAAAGCAAAACCAAAGAACGGGTTTTATAGTAATAAATAGGGCATTTTTGACCTTAGGAAAGTGCGATCTCTTTGGCACGGACATAGACGACCGACCATTCATTGGTCTCTCGGCTTTCAATGTGAAAGCACTCACCTACTGCGAACTGCAAGACATCCTGCTCGATGCATCTCTGTTCAGCATTCTTGACCTCTACCCAAATTACTCCAGGGAGTTCTCGGCTGCCTTACACGATGAACTCTCCTTCAATATCAAAGAGGGCTACGATCCAGTGAGTTATCCCTGCCACCTTACTAAGCCTGTGATTTAGAATTTGTCTTGATCTATTTCCACTTTTTCAGCTAGCTAGGAATTGGGATCAAAGGAATATGGGCGATTACGTCTGTTTCTTTAACATCAGTTTCGCAGGCGTACGACTACCTTGTTTCAGTTGTCATCTTGTTCCATCTTAATAGCTTCTATGATGATCTCTTCCCAAGTCCAACCGATAGACGTGCAATCATTTAGTTAAACCCTCACAAAACGTGGCAATACGCTGCTGCAAAGGGCCCTACTGATTACTCAAATGCGACAAACGTTTTAATCTCGACAGTCGATCAAGGCAAAGTGTATGCAGGCAGGGTTGTTCGTCCCCCTTTAAGCGTTAGGTGGAGGAATTATTACGATGAATAGGACTTATACGATCTAATGGATAGCTGTTGTAAGAGATATTCAGGAAGTTGGAAGCAAAGATAGTGGAGTGATTGCATCTGGTGACAAGGGTAATTATGGGCTTGTTACATCAATTAAAGTCTACTATTATGAAGCCTTCTCGTGACATGTTAACTAATATTAACAGCACGAGGCGTATCTTTGTGGCCATCAAGTCGTTTAATCTGGAATTGTGTATGTGTGTGCGTCGGTGGCAATCCTGATGAAATGAAAACGCCTGCGCGAAAGGAAAGTCAATTAGTCTGACTCTAGCTGCCTTAATTTTGAAAAATGTTTTCAAATTTGATGATCAAAATCAATCTTAGAAATAATTGCTCGTAACACGGTCTCTGTCTGAGACCAAGAAATGAGTTTACAATTGAATCTCTTCATTAAGGTGGATTAACTCCTGTACCTTTGTGCCAGTCCCTCTCGCTTAAGGCCATTTTGGCGATGGCTTAAGCACCACTCAATTCACTTTTAGTATTCCGAGTCATTTTTGAAGACGAAATTAGTCATGATACATGACAGAAGAAGTATTACTGACGTTCAGAAGGGCTAGGAGCTACTGGCGTGGCCCAAAAATGCCATGCCACTCAATGTGAGCACAACGACCTGGAGTACCTGCGAAAGAAAAATAGAGTTGGGAAAATTATTAATGTATTGCATAGCACCCCCTCCTTTTGAGTGCCGTCCTCGGCGCTCCCCTTGGTCAACCTCTCTCACCGGCCATCAAAACGAGGTGGGTGTCATAGAAAATACACTTACCAACCAACCGCGCCATATAGAATTTGCTTTCTCTTAAGACGATATCTGACTACAACGTCACTGATTCCTCTTGGCTATTTCACTAAAACTGGAGTTTCCTTCCATTTGGGAACTGTGCTGGCCATTAAGTCTGTCTATCTCTAGTCGTAGGAGCACTGGCCTAAAAGCAGAGTCGTTTAATGAGACCAAGATTGGAATAGTTTAATGGGGATAGTAATTCGTTTCTATTCCGCCATCCTTCTTTGTTCTCACCTTAGTGCTGCCCAGCCATATCTGATTTTTATCTAGCCAGTAGAGAGGTAGAAGAGGTACCGCATGTTCACTTACTTGTCATCTTTATACAGGTACCGTAGACAGCTCTGTAGCGAACTCTTCCAGGTGGTTCAAGGCCATGGCAGGTGTCGCTTCAGTTGTTAATGTCATTTCTAGAGAACACGGGAATGTAGTAGTTGCCGAATGTACACGTCATTTTTAACCCTTCCGTTAAGGGTTGTCATAGACTCTTCTATCCGAAAAACATGCTCTTCTTCAGTGCCGATAAGGTTTATCAGTCAGTAATAGAAATCGAGGTAGATGTCTTTTAGGTTCGGGCTTGCTTTTCGCAGTGCTTAATGCAGCGTTGCAAGACTTTCCTGACGACGAAAGGAAATATGATACTCGGGAATAATATGTATTGTCGATGTACAGAAGGGCTAAGGGCTACTTACCTAGCTCAAAGACCGTGTCCCTCAGCAGAAGTACAAAGGCAGGACTTTAGGTGCCAGCGAAACCAAAGTGAAAAGTTAAACAATTAAAGTATTACACACCTTCGTGTAGATCACCTAATCCGGTGATGTGTGTCCTTCTAGAACTCAAAACATTGACCAAGAGATAAAAATTTAATTCATGAGCGTCTTTAGAATATCGCTGAACTATTGGCCAGCATTAAGCTGATGCAGGTCAGTACGAAGTCGCCGGAGTTATTAAATAATAAAATTGAAAAGTTTACTTTTTTAGAAGGATTTATTGCCATGCGTATCCATTTGAAAACTACTATGGATGACAAATTTCTTCATCCGGTTGTTGTTAAATAATCTGACACTACGACAATCAATTATTTTCAGGTGAATACTGTTTTCCTGGGTTACTATTGTTAATCCAAGACTCATTAGGAAGGCCGAATGTTTGAAAACCCAAGACAACTTTTTTTATATACTATCGCTTGCTGCATTCATACAATCATCTCAGTGCTGAACCAGTACCTGGAAGGCTACGCCTAAGAAAGATACGTCTATACCACTGAAATATCTTTGACCAGATTGCACGTAACTCTCCTGTTTCCCTGTGTGCGCCAACTGCTACAAGTTGCAAATATCCCTCAACATTTGTCATCACTGATCCCACAGAATAGTTCATCTATCGTACGACTTCAACCACAGGTCATGTGTGGATGGGGTGTTCAGTACGAAGCAGGCTTGCCACGTGCTGACCGAATGCTCACAGGAATGCTTGTTGCGGTGTCGACTAAGAGTACGCCACTATGGTCGAGATTGTCACAGACAGACAGGCATCCAAGTGCCTTTGAAGCGTTGGTATTGTTTAAATATCTAACTGTGGTTCAGCACCACCTTCCCTCACTGCTCTTTAATGACTGTAAAGAGATCAATGGTATACCGGACTAACTAACGGCGTGCGTCCGACCCCAAGTATTAGGATGCACTTGGTTTGTACTACTGAGTGAAGCACCACTTTCCTACTTATAGTTTAATGTTCCATTCCACAGAAGCACTTCTCGCGAAAAATTTAAAACTTGAATTTGAGTTAGAGCGTTTTCGATTAAGAGGGATTGGGCGAGGTATCTGTCATTACAGAGAATGAGTAAGATTTGCATGGGACTACCCTTTGTTTTAGTTTGCCAAAGACGACATTGAGACATTGGCAGCGATCACAAAGCACTCTTCATCACCCCAAAGCCTATCTACTCTACCACAGTGCTCTTCTGAGGCCAACACTGACCACAGACTCAGCAACAGTAGTGTCACAAGTTTACACCGGGCGTTGGAAGAGGGCGATCTTAACGCCTCACCGGGTCTGCGAGGCTCCCAGGAGCACCTGCTTGGGAAAGCTCAGCAGAGTCGATGGTATCTTGCCTCTTCGTCAGCAGGCAGTGAAACCACAGTGGATAATCTCGTTGGGGGGATGTCGATAATGGCGAAAGTTGGTGAGGGTGAGGAGTCGTTGACCTCGAAGGTTAAGAGGAGCCTCCTATTCTCGTGCCGGGCAGGTAGAGTGAGTTGTCAGCATACAAACCTTTCGATGGACTCGTTTATACCGTCGGTTGAGGAAAAAGAGGCCACAAAGTCTATAAGACGTATCTGTTCCATTGAGCGTGTCAATGAGGCGTAAGTGAAGTAATTTATTCAGGATTATTTTAATGCTATTTTATAAGTTAAAAGTGGTATATTCTATTTGCCCATTTGACCTGAAAAATCAGTTATTTTGTTTTGAAACATGCTTTTTCGCTTGCAGCAATTCTGGCGGGTCCCAAAATGAGTTTGTCATAAGTGCGTAGTAAAGAGGTAACCGAATTTCTAGATGAAGCACATGGATCACAATGGTTATTTCGGGGGCTCTTTAAAATCATAATATGTTTAAACCTAATCTTAATCCATGGTTGACAATAATGCAAAAAAATGTTTTTACACAGTTACCAAGACGCAACGCGGTTCTAATAGCCTCCCTCTGTTGATAGTTTATGTCACCTACAGCATATATTCGCTTATCACTGATGATCATGTAGCACCTGAACCAGTCAAAAGCACCCTAAGGCTTACCATTCCGGAGGCAGATGTACTATGCACGTGGAGAAGGGCCAATAGACTAGTTGGATAAAATTTGAATCATAGAATGCCCAAAGAGCGCATATTTTAAAGTGTGCGCTTAAATCAAAAAGTCATTCTCCTACTCCTTGTAAAAAATTTTGCCAATTGTTTGCATTCATTTATTTGTGGGAGTGCATTGAAGCAATTGTGACTCCTTTTCCCTCAAAATTGAAGCATGTTTTCTAAAATTGTGGATTTAATTGCTTCCTGTCTATTACATCACGCACACAACGCGTTTATTTGTCAGAATCTCAAATGTCACATGTCAAAGAGGTCACTGAATACAATGAACTGCCTTAAAATATAGTCCCTAATGGCAAAAACAACATGCGATTTGATGAATATCTTATATTTTGAAGGCAAAAAGCCTTCTTAAATAACGCCAAATTTTTGGTAAATTTTGATCGGAAGGGATAATCTTGATATGTTTAAACATGCTCTCTACCAGCGTCACATATTTGTGACACTCCGATCTTATCGTCTGACCCAATGTGACTTCGTTAAATTGTACCACACTCGGATTGGTTGAGATAAAAAGAATAGAGAATGTATAATACTCTTCGTCTAAAGATACTGAAAAATTGTTTTAGGCATTCAGCGATTTACTTATGACAAGGTGATTCACGAGGTGGATAACATCATCCATTGCTACTGATATCCGTCTACCAATTGTCCAGGTAAAGTGTAACATGCATAAATCAGATTTAAAAATGTCAAATAGCTGAGCTAAATTGTATTTCAACTATTAGGTTTTAACCAAACTCAACCATTTAGCGTCTGCAGCACTATGGCTAGTGTAGGGCCCACAGATTTCCCTGAAGACGATGAAAGACAACACTGGGGTAGAACATGCAATGCCGATATGCTGAAAGGCTGAGAAGCTACTGACATGGCCCAAAGCTATGCAGCCCAATGAAAGAACAATGGCTAAGCTTTTAGCGCTTGCGAAATCAAAGCGCGGGGTTAAACAAATAACCAAATATTACAAAATATCTCTGTCCTTTTGAGTGTCGTATCCGGCGCTCCACCTGGTCAGCTCCCCGCATCGGCTATCACAGCGTAGTCAATGCTGCAAGAAAAAAAACACGAGCCAACAGCTCTACTCATCGAATTTACGTGCAACCAAAAAGATATTTGACCCAAACTTCACCTATCCCTCCTGGCAATTCTACTGGATCTGGAGATTTGTCCTGTTTAAAAGCACCATTGGGGAAGAGGAATATGCAGTCAAGCTCGGATGTCCATTGTTGGTCTTAAGAGCACTGACCTTTAAGCAGTCATTTAATGATTGGCGGGGTGTAAAGCAGTTTCACGGGCACAAGATTTTGCATCCGTTCTCCCTCGTTAATTTGTTTTCACTTCAATGTTCCCCAGTCATATCTGTCTGGATTCTGTGCAGCCAGTAGAGAGGTGGAAGAGGTATTGTGTCTTCACTTCATTGACGTCCTCGTACAGGTGACATAGTCAGCTCTGTAACCGACTTTTTCAGATGGTTTATGGCTAGCGTTACCTTAGTTGTTAATAGCATTCCTGCAGAATACAAAAGTGGGTTGGATGCTGAAGGTAGACTTCACAGATTGTTGATCCATAGCCTGTGGCCTTTTGTCAGACCAAAATTCATCAAAGGATTTGTCCTTTATGCCACCAATGCAGCACTCATAGACTTTTTCGAAGACGAAAGAAGTCAGCACTAGGTCGGAATGTGTATTCTAGACGTACAGTAGGGCTGGAAGGCTATGGACGTAACTCACAGTCATAGTTAAACACACATTCGAAGTATTGAGCTAGTGCCTTTTTCACAAGCCTAATGGCCAGAGACTCACTCTTCATACCCCTCTCTCCTCATGTACCGCCATTGAAAGAAGCATTTTGAACTACTAAACAGATGGCACGGATCTGGAAATTCCGAATGTATGGGAAAAAGGCTATCCCATCTGTGTGGGAAAGAGCTGATATTTCTGGGTTGTCTCTTCTGGAAATATTGTTATGCTACCAGCTTTGACCAAGTACAGAATGAACCGCGAGCCAGAAGCCCCGAAATATCTTCTTCCTCAAAACGAAAATATTCTCGTCCAACTCTACTAAGTGTTGCCTAAAGCTTACGTTGGTCTATGCTAATCTCCCTAATTTGTTTATTTAAGTAACTTGCCTGTCATTCCATCGCTATAATTTGCGCTGCTAAACCTTGAAACCCTCTAGCAACTAAACTCCATTAAGGCATTTTACTGTCATGTTAAAAGCATTGTTGAGAAGTGTGACAGATGTACCCACGTCTTGCCTCAATGACCGCTAAACAAAAGTTGAACTTTTAACGTGATAATTCAATGCGAAATTTATGCAGGCAATATGCGACATGACTTGCGTTTCCAAGCTAGCTTAAACTCAATTTTCACGAGACCTAATCAAGTCACAGCTCTTAGGCAAATGCATTTTCTTCTCATAATAACCTTTTTAAATTCCGCTTACGCCTTCAATGGGTATGAAATTTTAAGGCTCGACAACCAAATCACAATTTAACTGAGGGATTTTGGCATTTCAAACAAACCCTTTATATTATCCGGTGAAGAAAATTTACTTATTGCTGTTGAATGAGGGGAAGTTCTTTATGGCCATGTCAATATGTGGGTTAGTATATTACAATGAGGCACCTCTAAAACCGTAGAATGGCTTGTTATAAGCTTGCAGAGTAGTCGGGAGGCAATAGACATGAACTAGAGCACCAATCACAGACCGAAAGCCATCGATTTGGAACAAAAATAACTTGCAGAACTGATTTAAAGAATTACGTCACATTGTAGAAAACTGCCTCAAATTCTCATTTTCTATAGACGACAACTTAATGTTTGGACTAGTGCTACTTTCCTACCTTGTAATGTGTGAATGGGGTATGTAGCACCCTGACACTTCTCTGAAGACAAAAAAATAGATACTTTGGCAAAATATGTATAATCTGCATGCGGTGGGGATTGAGACTATAGCCTGAAGGTCAGATCGTCTGATAGAGGTACACTGGAGGAGCCCCAAAGCGGCCTGCTACCAAATAATTAGCGCATTACAGGATACACATTTACTATTGTATTGTGGTACTGATTGTTGCATTTTATATTCTAAAATATTTCCAAAATCAACACTAATTTCTCTACATAAAAAAGGGGTTCCGTTTAACTTTTCGTGAGTGAAGTCTGCGTCACCACAATTCGAGATTAAAAGAAACTGTAAACTTTGCCTTTAGTTTCATTTATGTGTATTTTATTCATAAAAGAAACAATTTCTTTGAAAGATTTTTAACAGAGTACTCGCAGGCTGGAGTACCACCTCCCACACCGAATCGGACACCTCCTACATGTGATCTCAACCCCGACCCCCTAGTCAATAACAGCAGCGAGCAAAAGGAACTAAAAGTGCTTCTCTTCACACTAATTCGCAATGTCCAGGAGATGCGAGCCGATCTACAGTCGCTGGCGACTGAGGTGAGCACCTTACGACAACAGCAGCAGCGACGGCAGCAGTTAATTCGACCTCTGCGAACACCCATGTCGGAGCCGGATTTGTCGCCCCAACACCACATACCAAAGGCCAGCATCATGAAGCCCTCATCAGCACCAACATCAGCCTATATGGTGGAGCAATACTCCGGGTCCTCATCGTCTTCCGAGGGCTTGAGTCGTAACGGAAGCCAAAGGACCACCCCTTCTGCCTCTGCTGCCTCAGCTAACTCCCAGGGCAATGTATTTTTCTCCACTGTGTCTCCACCGTCCCGATGCGTGAAATTTAATTTGCCGGATAAGCCAAAAAAGAATCACAAGGAGAAGCACACTCACAGGCCAGAAAGACGGTGGAACAGTGGGCAGGTCTCCCCCGATCCCTGTGATGCTTCCGCTACCGTCTGTGCTGCCTCGACGTTGGATGAGTGTAGAAAGTAGCACAGGGTCCATTCGACGTCATTCACGTCTCCACTGTTTGCTCAAGCAGCCTGATGCATGTATGTATGTTCAAATGTGACGTGACGTAAAGTGTGGATGCCCAACTTTTCCCATTTTTCTACAGCCTTCATTTAGTCACTGATGGCCGCGGGTGTGTGCATTGTACAGCTGCTATTTTATCAGTAAAAGGTATCCTACCTATTACGTCGTGAGTTTGTGGGGATGTAAAACTGTTGTCTTTTACTTTAAATAATATTTTTTACATTCGACCTACTATATTCTTCAGCCTGGCTATGTGACCCAGAGTAAAGTGTGACGTTGATTTGTTTTAAGCTAATTTTACCTATTTGTTATTCATCAATTATTTGTTCCCATAATAACTTATTTTTAATCCTTTTAAAGTAAATCTGAAATATCTTTTGCCTAGAAAACGATTAGCTGTGAATCGTAATACTTTGCTTATTTGTTCAACTGTCAGTGTTGGTAACAGGCCAATGTGCGGCTCCACCACTGTATCACTACCGGTCAGCCCGGCCTCCTAGCTGTGTCAGTAGCCCCAATCCCCTCTGTCGGTCAACGGTGCGCATTCTGCCCGAGTGTTGTGTCTCCTTTCATCTTCAGGGAAGTCTCGGGGTGCTACAGTATTTTAGCAGAATGTCCTAGTTACATCCAATCGACGGATATTTAAGTAAGGCTTGTGTGGAATTTCACACATTTTTTCCTCCGTAAACAATATGCAGATTAGCTCAGGCTCGTGATGTAACACACTCATGCATCGTCATGTGGTACTTATTTCAGCTTTCCTTCGCCCAGATTCTCAAGCCAGGACATGGTTTTAAGGAGGCGATTTCGAATTTATTAATTTGAGTAGCTTTTTGAGTGCAAACTGCATGCAATTCGGTGTTTCCTTGCAAGGGGTGATGGTTATTCATCTCCAGTGGTCACCCGACCAGATGGCACGAAAATGTAATGGAGAGGGCTAGTTGAAAGTTTTTGAATATTTTGCGATTATTTGGCCTTGAATAGCATTTAAGTTATTTACATTCTACTAAATGAAGATAATTTGCAAGATGGGAAGGGTTTAATGAAAGCCGAGACTGTAGCCCCTACGCCTACCGTTGTGGTACTAAAGCCAGTAGTGAGCGGCCGCAGCACGTCGTGGACTAACCCAGGATATCATTTATCCGGTTAGAGGCATAAAAGACTATGTCATGCGTAAACAAAGTTTCGTCTGCACCAAGAATTATGGCTCCACCTTATGGAATCCCACTCGAATAGCAAGGTGATACAATGCCGAGCCGTTGTTGGAAATTTGTACAGTATCAAAGTTCCGTGTCAGGCTGTGGGTCTA